GAAAAGTCACGTCCCCGGGACTAATGAGACGCGGAACCGGATCGACACGAAGGAACGATCCGGAATTATTCCGCGCCACAGGGGTTGCGAGGGTGGTGCGCTGCAGAGGGGAAGACCGTCGACGAAAATCATCGGGAGCAGCGAGAGGCGACCCGTTCAATTCTCTCTTTCTTTTCTTCTCGCGTTGTACGTGACTTCGTTCTCCGTTTCCTCGCTCGAAACAAACTGAAGAATAATCGGCAAAAGAGACAAAACGTGCCGAGAAAGAAATCATAAAACACAAAGCAGGGGGTATGTCACACGTGTCGCTTAAAGAGGTATATACTCGATTTACAATAAACTTATATCGATACGAACTAAATAATTGGCCAATCAGCGGCGTCTTCGAAGCATCAAAATTCATCTTATTTTTTAACCGATTGAAAATATCACACACCATTGTGTAAAGGTAACAAAAACCAAGAAATAAATCTATTTTATCATTGACATTTAATTACCATCCGCGAAAACCACGAAAAAGTAAAAGCATATTTTCACTCGAACAACTTCGAAGACACCGTGTCTATTTTGTTAGTTACAATACTTTCCAAAAAATTGGTCGCTTGAGAAAACCGTGAAAAAGAAAAATAGTAGCAACAAAAGAAGAAGAAGAAGAAGAAAAACAGAATACAGTGGATGGGAGAGAAAACGAAAAGGTGAAGAAGAAGAAAAAAGAAATCTAAAAGGAAAAGGGTTCGAAAATGAATTTCCAATTTAAAGAGTCACCGGAAGTAGGAGAGAGGTATTACTAGCGAGCGAGGAGAAAACATGGGAAAAAGGGGAATCGTGTGGGGTGAAACTGAAAGGAAAAGTCGTCGAAAGAAACGCGGAACGAAACCATTCCCGGCTCGCGAGATCCGCGTTAAAAAACGTAGATCGATTCGTGGTGCGTGTCTTTGTCTATCCGTTTGGCTGGCTCGAGACGAACAGGCAGCATTTGGAGAAGCGTGTTCCGGTTGTTTGGCACTCGGTGAACCCCGCGAGATATCGATTTCACGCTCGACACCTCGAAGAGCAAGGCGAATTTCTCCTTTCGTTTTTCTTTCCTATTCTTATTTTATTTTTATTTCACTCTTTTTTTTTTCATTTTCGTATTCTTCTTAAGGCTCCGCTGCGATCTTCCGTGGAGACTTCCGGTCGTCTTCGTGCCGATGAAGAAGAAGCACTCGCGAGTACTTTGCTTTTTTTCTTTTTCTTAATTTCTTTCTCTTTTTGCAAAGCAGAAGAAGGGCTGATGAATTGTTTCGAAGAAGAAGAAGAGTTATATACATTTCTCGGGTGATTTTCATTTGGAGAAATTTTTGTAGAAAATTTGGACTGAAAGTGTACAGGGTTGTTCTAAGAATTCGAAGGGTTCGTGAGTTCTGAATTGACGAGGATTTAGGTGTAATTTTTGCACTCTGCTCTTTTGCATACCGAAATTCGAGAATCATTCTCTTTTTGGATTGTTTTTCTAACATATTTTCCGGTCGAGAATACCTCGAGCAAATTTTTCAGAATTAGTCGTATCTCTTTTCCACTCTTTCGAAGATTCTATTCTCCGTTCGACGATATCTATAACCGACGAGAATTATGCGAGGAAAAAAGTTCCGAAACGAAGTTTTCAAATCTCTCTATCCCGTAGAACTGCATTTTAAATCGCTTCTCGTTCACTATGGCGAATCGAAAGACGCCCCTGTCGTCCCCTACTGCGTCTTCCTTCGTACGTTTCCGAATAATTTCACCAGACCGGTTCTGAATAATCGTTCGGATATTCGAGTAAAACGATTATGTAAAGTTGTAAATTATTCCCAAGGCTGTTGGAGCATGGGGGAACCGAGGGGAGACGATCACGTTTCTCGCTCGAGCCTCCGTCAGCACCCTTTAAGTTTGTTAAAACGTTGTAATGATCGAAGTTGCGTGGAGAAAATCGCGAAAGAAAAATAGACGTCCCGCGATTCTACGTCAATTCGAAGCGGCAAAAGTGAGATCGATCCGTGTAAAAATTTTGATAAACCTCTTTGGGCAGCAAATGTTGAAAATTAAACTCCGGAAGAATTTCGATTTGCCTGAAAATGAAATTGAAAAGAAGTTTCTCTACTGAACGTGGAACATCGAACTCTGAAAAACAGTGAAATACAACAGAAAGATGGTCTGAATCTGCAGAAGAACAAACTTCAGAATCGAGTCTGAAATTCCCTCCAAGTTCCTTCCTCAAAAGAACAGAATTAACAAATTTCCACCAAAATACTCCTCGATTGAATTAAAAAAAGTAGAAGAACGAATAAAATTGAACTCCAGAATCACTCAGGTCCAAAACTTCCCAAATCTCATCCCTGAAAATTCCTCGCAGAAATCGAATTAACCAATTTCCGCTGTCATTCTCCTAACTTCAACCGGAAGAAGAAGAAAAAAATCAACCACCGAGATTTTCTCACTGTCGAGTGTTCAGATTTGAAAAATATCAACGACAGGCTGGTGAATTCGGAGCGGAGTAATGATTAACCAGTGTAGAGCGAAACGAGAGGCCGCAAAAAGGGTTGAGGGTCGCGGTGGGCTTTTTTTTCCTTCCCCTTCGCAAGGAATCATCCCCTTGTGATGGTGGTACCAGGCTGTACATACGCGAGTCACGTACGTAACAGTAGCAGACTGACATGTATGCCTCGTAACAGTAAGCCGGTTCCCACTGAGAACCCTGTTACGCTACGTCTACGTGCTGGAAAAGAGGGTAGAAAGCGAGAGAGACAGAGGCAGAGAGAAATGGAGGGGAAGTTTGCTGCCAGTGGTGGAGAGACTTTCTATGTGTGTGTGTGTTTTATATGTGTGCAAAAGAGACTTTGTGTAATGCATGTTTCGTGTGGTGTACATAGACGTATACCGCATGCATGACGTGGAGGATGAGTCAGCTTGTGGAAGCAGTTTCAGGGAGAATTCATCACGAAACTTTCCGGAAATATTTGTCCTTCTTTTTTTCTTTTTTG